GCACCCAAAGTTTAAAACCAGCTTCCTAGCAGTGGCAGCAGCAGCAGTCTTTCTGTTCAGGCAGTGTTAGGAGGGTAAATTGAATTCATGCTGGGTTTTTGGTTGTGATCGTGTTGGTCTCAGGACATAGGCAGGCAAGGTTCTTTGAGTAGATGTGATATCTTCTATTAGACCAACTGAGTAGTTGGGAAAAAAAGTTGTTGGCAAGCTTTCAGGTATAGTCACCTTCTTCAGGCATTAGGGATTCTCTGCTGTTGTCAGACTCCAAGAAATGAGAGAAGCTAAAAGTGTGGCAGGATGTCAGTGAAAATGTAAATGGGTAGAAATTAGAAAGACATAAGGTAAAGCAGAGAGGGAAGGGGAAGAAAGCAGGGGAAAAAATAGTAGGAGATCAGGAAAACAGGACTGAGAGAAGTTCAAAGTGTGAGAGGCTGTAGTGAAAATATAAATAGGTAAAAAGGAGAAAGAAAAGGTAAAGCAGGGGAAAAGAAAGGCCAAAGAGAAATATTACAGGATTACAGAAAGAGGCTCTCAAGAAGGAAGTAGTAGTAAATCAGGGAGACAAAGGGCAGAAAAGTGAGGGACGGGAGAAGACATGGAGGAAAAGAATGTAAGAGGTGCTGTCAAGGTACTTGGTGAATCAGATGTTAGGCATGTTGTAATGTGTCATAAAACCAATGTCTGTATTGAGTCCATGATTTTTTGTATCCAGTAGATTTATGACGTGAAGTTCGTAGGCTCGTCTACAGAAGGTGTTTTGTAAATTCCCTTTGAGGATTAGAACTGAGAGTTCGGAGAGGGAGTGATTGTCCTGTGAGAAGTATGTCCCAGGTAGTTCTATGACGCATTACAACCTTTCTTTTCCCCTGCTTTCTTCCCCCTCTCCCCTGCTTTACCTCTTGTTTCTCCTTTCTACCTATGTATATTTTCACTACATCCTCTCACACTTTGAACTTCTCTCAGTCCTGCTTTCCTGTTTTCACTGACAGCCTCTTTTCTACAGTATATTCTATCACTACAATGTCTCCCTTCAGCCTTTTTTTTTTCTTTTCCCCTGCTCTCTTCCCCTCCTCCCTCTGCTTTACCTCTCTGCTTTACCTTTTGCCTTTCTAATTTCTAGCTGTTTACATTTTCACTGCCACCCTGCCACACTTTTAGCTTCTCTTATTTCTTGGAGTCTGAGAACAGCAGAGAATCCCTACGCCTGAAGAAGGGTGACTGTGCCGGAAAGCTTGCCAAGAACTCTTTTCCAACTACTCATTTGGTCTAATAAAAGATATCCCATCTACTCAAAGAACAATTGAATTCATGGCTCATTAAAATCTACCTGATTTCCTTCTAAACTCTTCACTCCACAGGTGTAAATTGCCCTCTCTCCTTTTAAATGGTCTTGATGTTCCACTAATGAAGCTAGCCTTTCTTCTATAATTCTGTTGTCTGTTAGCTACTCCCCATAATATAGCTCCTTTTTCACAGCCCTGCAGGCTGTTTTTGAGTCATTCCAATAAACTTAGACTGAAGCAAAAACAAGTATTAAACTGAATAATATAGCCCTAGGCACCTAGCATAGTAGCAAAGCTGCTACTTTCTTTTTACCTGGAGAAAAGCATGATTTGTTTTTTATGGGATGATAAACCATACCATCTTGTACCCCCCTCTCCCTTTTAAATATCTTAGATCTGCCCGTGTCTATAGCCCTTCGTGCCCCCATCTTCTTCCTTTCTTCCTCTCCTCCCTTTTTGATATTGTCCTGTCTTGGAGGGGAGTGATCATCTGCAGCACCCCCAGCTTGCTACTCTAAAAGGTTGAGCACCACTGCTCTACTGTATTTGCAGTAACTCTTCCTCTTATGGCAGAAGATAATGAAAATAGAGTTAAACCAGAGCATCTTAACTTTGGATGTAACAGTCTAAGTAGATTTAATTTATTTTCACTTACTGCAAGGTAATTGCAGGTGCAGAAATACCATATGCCTGAAGGGGAGCTAGGGGGAGCAAATTTACTATCAAGTACTCTGCACTGTAACTGTGCTTGTGTTGACTGTGCTGAGTGAAAAAATAAACCAGGGCAACTTAAATACATCTCCATCAATGTAGAGGCCCCCAGTTTAATTCTCACCATGGATTTAAGAGCAGGCAGAAACAGCAGTTACCATGGAGCAGGTGGAGCGTGGCAAGTCCCTGCCCTGTTAATTGTGGGCACACAAACAGTGGCGAACATATGCGTGACTGCATAGATTATCTGACTATAGGTGAGGTTAGGATCAGTACTAATTTGGGAACTGCTGTCTTGCTGCAGACAGACTTAAATGTTTCAAATGACCAGTGAATGAGTGTTTGCCTCTGGTAGGTCAGTCTTCCAGGCATCCCTCAGTGCAGTGTTTCTCTTACCCTTTTCTTCCCCACCCCCCACTGCTTTGGGGCTGTCACCATTCCCACCCCTAGGTGCCAAGCACTTTGTTAGAACTGGTAAACTATACACCTTCCTCCCCACTCCCTCTGCCTTCTACCCTCTCAAATCAAGGTTTCAGTTATCCAGCCCCCAGTTCCCATGTACTTCCCTCTGTTGTCCTATTTCCAGTAGGGAGGGTGATGCCCTAGGAGAATGGATGTGGAAGTGTGCTTGCTGATATTGGCTTCCCTCCTGTCCCCAAACCTCCCCTCTCCTCCATGGGGGGAGCAAAGACTCAGCCCACCTTCCCCCCCACCCCCCCTCCAAAGACTGGGGCTACAGAGCTGCACTTGACAGCTCCCCACCCTGCTTTGTTTGAAGCCCTTTTATACTTCAAAATGTTTGCTGCCTGCACCCTTAAAGGCTTACAAAATCCAGGCTTCCTAAATTCCTGTCTTATGCTTTTGGCATTGCATTTTTGTGTGCCAAGAAACTTGTGGTAGACATGTCTCCCTTTGCAAATTTGTTCTTTGTTCCTAATTCAGTAAGAGTCCTTTTCTACTCTGAATTGGAACAGAGTTCTGCAAGCTGAATGGGTGCTATTGTACTGCATCCATAATCTTTATAAGAAATTTTAAGGGCTTATCTGCTAATGATTACTAAAGATCTATCACAAATAGTTACACCATGTCCCTTACCATAGTATCTGAGTACCTGTGATTAATATAGCGTTTAGAGTTTGAGCTTCTCTACTGTTGTGGCCAGACTTCAGTTTAGGTAAATGTATTCTGTCAGCCAAAAATTTCCTGTCTGGTATGGCTATGGAATTATTCGTTCCTTTTC